ATTCTCAAGACGTACGCTCTACGATCCAAAGAAAACTCAACGAAGCCTAACAAACCTGAAAAAGAAATAAGCATTAGTGTGTTCACAGGCCAGAAAGAAAGAATGATATATACATTCCGGATTCTCAAGACGTACACTCTACGATCCAAAGAAAACTTAACGAAGCCTAACAAACCTGAAAAAGAAATAAGCATTAGCGTGTTTACAGGCCAAAAAGAAAGAACAATGAATGAATGATATATACGTTCCAGATTCTCAATCCCAAGAAAACTTACAGACACTCTAATGAACCTAGAAAAAAAAAGAGCTTGTTTACAAGCAAGGAGACATGAAATCATATAACTCTATATTCTCAAAACATTTCCAAGAAAGCTCAAAAACACCTAAAAAACTTGAAGAAAAAAAACAAGTGTTAAAAAGGAAGAACAATGATTGAAAATTATGTTCTCAAATTCTCATGTATGCTCTATAAAAAATATGGAATAGAGAAAGCAGTATCTATAAATATAACGATAATGATAAACTTGATCTTTGATAACGTCATACTGTCAAATGATTAACTTTTATTTAAACCGTTATGACAGTAACTAAAATTACATCATCATTATGAGATGATGTAATTTTAGCTATTGTCATAATGTTTTAAATAAAAGTTTTTAAAATTCCGAACATAGTCAGTGATAAAATTAGCCTTTTTTGATCGATAAAATTTTTTTTGAAATAATTACGTCACTTATTTTATTTGAAACACATCATAAATGTGGCTTTACCACAAAATCCCAAAAGACAAAATTCTGAAAAGACATAATACTAATAAAGTTAGCTAGCATTAGTGATAATGCTAGCCAATTTAGTCGGTATTATGTCCTTTCGGGATTTTGTAGTAAAGCCCGTAAAGGTGTACAAGGTTATATCGATCACCAAATCGAAAAAACTTAAGTGCAAATTTTAATTTACTTTATATTCAATATTCAAGTGTATTTATATATCTAAAATTTCGTGCTGAAAACTTTTGCTTAGAAGTCAAACTATGGTTATCATAGTAAAATTTTGAGTTATCTAAGAAAACAGAAAATTTATAAATAACTCAAAATTTTACTATAATAACTGTAGTTTGACTTCTAAGCAAAAGTTTTTAGCACGAAATTTTAGATATATGAATATACTTGGATATTGAGTATAAAGTAAATTAAAATTTGCACTTAAGTTTTTTTGATTCAGTGATTGACATAACCTTGTACACATTTACAATGTGCTTATTTGAAATCAGATTAATTCAGCATTACTATTACTGTGATTTTCTAATAATTATAATATCAAAATAATAAAAATATATGTTGATAATGAAAATACATAATAAAAAGTATGAAAATGCTTGAACTTTAATAGTTATAAAATTTTGACAAGTTAGCGCAAATAAAGGTGATAAACTCGGTTCATTCTTTACTATTTAAAATTTTGCTTTCACGTAATAAATTACCTTATGACAAGAAGCTTGATTAAAAATACCTTTCGTTAATTCCTAACACATTTTGACCCATTAATTGAAGCACTTGAGAACACAATATTTCAATCACTATGAAATTGCATCTAGATTAATGCTTAAGAACTAGAGTGTCCAGTTTCAGTGAAATCGCTTAAGTTTGGAGTCTCTATTGAGAACACCCACAATTAAGGTGCATTATAATTAGCGATAGGAATTTGTATTTATTGATGATACAATAGGGTGTATAATGCTATAATACAAAATATATAGTTAGGATTATTATTTGTGGATTTTGCTTATGGAATCTGCAGATAATTTTTAGGTGTCATTCTAATAGTAAAAAGTGAAATTTTTAGGTATATTTTTTAGCAAACTAACTTTATTAATATAAACAACAAATTACCAAACTAATTTTAATAATTTTTTTATATTATATGTAAAAATAGTTTCTCTACACTTTTTGCTAAAAATCAAATATAAATTAGCTTAATAAAAAAATAGTTAGCTATGGAAGAAATGAAAATTTCATAATTATAATAAATTTAATAGTAATTTGCATATATGAAATACTACCCATCTTAGACAAATTAGCAATTAATTATTTTTTAGAAAATTTTGAATATATAAATTTTCTATCAATAATATTAATCAATAGAAAAAATTAAAAATTCTATTACTATTATAAAAACATAGTAATATTTATAGCATTATATTATAGCAATTACTATTTGTATTCGCATATTTGTTATTGCTATCCCCTTTTATGTAAAAAAATTATTTTAACTAATTATCACATAGTATTTACTAGTGCTACAAATCGAAAGTTGAAAAATCGATTAGTTGATCAAGTTGACAACTAATCGATTCCATTTTACCAAACCAACTTAATCAATTAATTGATTAATCAATTAGTTGATTAGTTGACTAGTCGATTAATTGATTAGTCGATTAGTCGACTAGTCGACTAGTCGATTAATCGATTAGTCAATTAATTGATTAATTGATTAATCAATTAGTCGATTGGTCAACTAATCGATTGGTTGACTAATTGCTAATCCAATCGATTGGATTATAATGTCATTATCATATATAAATAATAAATATTTATTTACAAATCTTTTCTAATCGTGAAAAATTATTATCCCTTGGATGCACAAAGTGACTAATCAATTAGTTAATCAATTGATTAGTTGATTAATTGACTAATTGATTAGTCAACTAATCGATTAATCAACTAATTGATTGGTCAATTAGTCGACTAATTAATTGGTCAACTAATCAATTAGTCGATTATTTGACTAATCGATTAGTTTATTAGTCGACTAATCGATTAGTCAACTAATCGATTAGTTGAAATAAAATTGATTAATTGATTAGTTAGGTAAAATAGGTTGTCAACTAATCGATTGAAAAACTTTTGTCGATTTGTAGCACTAGTATTTACAACTAAACTAAATCAAAATATTATAATAAATAATTTTTAACTATAAATTTATATAAATTTAATTTTATATTTTTATATAATAACATAGTACTTTTATATAAAAAGATACAAATAACAAAAAAAGAAGATATCAACAGTAGTGCCTATTATCTAATTATTATAGATTAGTAAATTTTATTGTTTTAGCACCAATTTTTTAACAATTAAGTAGTGTTAATAGTAAGAACTAATAAAAATTAATTTTGCTAACTTAGTTAACTAGATAATCAAACAAATTTGATTAAGATATAAATAACCAAATTATAATAAAAAAATCTGCTTATTGTATTTGCATAATATTTTCAAATACATATATACAATAATTTGAATCATTTTGACAAATTTGAAATACAATAAAAATTTTTATTTTTATTAATAAGTTTAGCCTAAAAAATTCGATTAAAATATATATTATTAAATATCTTTTTTTATCTATAATATATCAATACTAGGGTTCCTCAAAGTCAAATCAGATTGAATATTTACATATTTGAATTTGATCGAATCGAATAAGCTCTTGATTTGAATTTGATTTGATTAAATTAAATTCAAATCAAATCAAATTTATTTGTAATTTGTATTAAAATTATATTATTTTGTATATATGTATTATAATGCACCTTATAAGATCAGATGTAACATGAAATTAAAACAATAAATTAATTCATTAGTTTAGGGTTAGGGTGAGGGTTAGGTTAGGATTAAATTAGAGTTAGAATAGAGTGCTTTAGTAAAAAGGTTCTAACCCAAAATTTTGTAAAAAATTTTTTTTGTTAGTACATGAAGAGAGGTTTCATAAGCAAAATTTTTAGCTACAAGTGATTTTTTAAAAGATTGCTATTTTTTTTGATTTTACAATATACCTGATTTTAAATTCTGATTAGTCACTCAGTAGGTACATTACTACACATATGTGCTAAATTATATAACTCTTTTTATTAAGTATTTTTGAATTTAATCGAATATTTTGTCAATTTAAATTTGATTTGATTTGAAATTTTTGTATTTTAATTTGATTTAAGATCAAATATTTGATTAAATCAAATCAAATTAAATCAAATTGTGGAACCCTAATCAATACAAATATTTACTCAAATTATTAGGTTCATATTATTTTACTAACAATTACTTCGTAGATAGTGTTCTGATCTGGGTTTAAAAACCCAGTTTGATCCGGGATTGAATTGAAATTGTTCTAATCCCTGGATTCGGATCAAATCCGGTTAATCCTGCCAATCCGGGGATTATCAATTTTTTTTTTAAATTTCTCTATTTTGGTTGTTTTAGCAAGTTACGGGTATATTTAAACAAGATCTAACTCATTTTCACCAGATTCTTACTTCAAAACTTACTTGTATTTGAATTTATGTTTAGATCGTCAGTTTAACTACTTATTTTAACTGGTTTACTCTGGTAAGTTGAAGTAGTTTAATTTATTTATTCTAATCGGGTTACTTTAGTCTTAAATAGATTCAATTAGCCAGTTGCTATTTAATTTATATTGCGTTTATTCTAACCAGTTCTTTTGGTATGTTATTTTAGCTGGGGTACTTGGCATATTAAATTAGATCCAACTTGCTTGTTTTAGCAGTTCGTTTTTAGCATATTAAATCAACTTGCTTATTCCAGTCCGCATATTAAATTAGACTCTACTAGCCAGATAACTTTGGTATGTTGAATTAGGTTTACTAGTTGAGTTATTTTTGGTATGTTGAATTAGATCATTATTGTTCCAATCGGTTATTTTGGTATATTTTTAATTAGACTCAATTCATTATTCAAAACTAAATAAATAAGGATATTCAATCTACAAGATTGAACTTCTATGTACTTTAATTTTTTTTATGACAAGTTCTTAATAAATATCATCGAAATATCATCGAAATAGCTAAATTACGCTCAATTTTGCTTATTCTAATTGAGTCAATTCATTATGTTAAAATCAATATACTTATTCCACTTTAACCTATTTATTTCAACAGTATCATTTTATGATGTATTGAGAGTTCAATTTGATTATCGGGTTATTTTGATATATTTAGGTTTATTCCAGCTGAGTTACCTAGTAGGTTCTATTTTATTCCTTTAATCGAAGTATTTTTATTATGTTCAATATGCTAATAAGAATTCTGGTGTATATGGAGTCTTGCAACAGAGATTTCAGTAGCCGATATATACGAGTTTGGAGTTATC